CGCCCGCGGCACCCCAACCGTCGCGGCGCGCCCCTCACCTCGGCGCCGCTCGCTTCCGGATCCGCAGCGCACCCGCTCCGGCCGTGACCGCGTCTCCAGCCCCAGCCTCCGGTCCCGGCTCCAGCCCTCGATCCGGCCGAGCTGCCCTGCCCTGCCCAGAAACGCTGCGGCCACTTCTGCCGCCAGCCGCGACCGCACCGCCCCCGCCGCGCCCGCTGTGCTCGCCCCATTGGCTGCTGGGCGCTGAGCCCCGCCCCACAGCACCTTCGGCGCCCCGGATTGGGCCAGGGGAGCGACGAGGCGGCACGCCCCCTGGCGCGCACAAGGGGATTCCCCTGGGCGCGCATTGGCGGCTTCTTCTGTCAATCAAGGAGGGGGCGCCTATTTAATCTGCTATGAGGGCGACCCGGGCAAAGTAGAGAGAGTTGCTCGACCGTGGTAGGCCGCGGGGCTCGCTCCCTGGGGCCAGAGTTTTGCAACCTTGCTGGCACCCAGGGGTGAGGGGCTCGGCAGGGCGGCACCGCATCTGACGGGGACTTAAAGGAAGCCAGTCCTTCAGAAAGTTTCCTCTCCCAGGGGACTCAGAGACGCACATGTCATCAGGGCTTCCGCAGACTCGCGCCATCAGAACGTATTGCACTCGAGCGGGCTTAGTTTAAACAGGGCAGAGCGGCGTGTGCGCGCGTGTAACCGCCGGAGAGCCCAGGACGGCTGGGCACCCGCAGTGTGTGCACATTCCTTCCAGTTCTCACAGCCGTGCTTGATAGGATGGTAACCCCATTCCACAGAGAGAATTGCAGACATTCGCTGAGCACTGTTCTGAGCACTTTCCCGCATGGCTTCAGGTAGCCCTGGTGCAGAGGATGGTAACAGCGTGCCCAAGGGAGCTTTTAGGAAGATGACACCAGGTAAATTGCTGGGTGGTGACACGAGGCAGGAAAGTGGCAGGCCTGACCGACCGACCGACCGACAGACTGGAGGCCTGTGCCAGTTCCAGGCCACCACCTCGGGAATGGTAATGAGGACGGTGTGGCAATATGGAAAAATGCTTAAACTGAAACGGTAAAAGAAAAAGCTGGATACAGAATGGTAGGAGCTCTATAATTGCCACCACACAAGGATAGGGCCTGGAAGAGTTCACAGCAAGCACCGGTGAGTCTCGCAGGGGCTCCTGGAGACTGGAAGCCACACGGAGGAATAAGACAGGCATTGCCCCACAACAAGGCAAGACCTCCCGAGACCTTTTGGCCTCCTGGCCCCAGGGGGCACCACCGGGCCACGTGACCCACTGCTCTGTGGGCATGTGCAGTGGCGGCTCCCTTCACGCTCCCTCTCTTATCCTCTCCCTCTCCTATCCTCTCCCTCTCCTTCTCGAGACAAAAACAAAATCCTCTCACTTTCTCGTGCCTGGCAGTTTGACACCGTTACCTGAACTCTTCAGGTCTTGGGACATTCTGTCCCGGCAGCATATGGGTATTTTTCCAAAGAGAGCACCCCTCTGCCAGCTGCAAACATCCCAACCCTGTTCCCCACAAACATTTCACAACATTGCGTCCAGCCTCCTTCTTCAATCATTCAAACAGCCCAATCCAGCCCCCACGCTTCCCAGCCAAGGGTCTTAGGGCATGCCACTGCAGCTGTCTGTCCTGTGTCTCTATCAGGACAGAGGATTGTGGCAGAGCAGCAGGGTTGTGGGCTAAGAGCATGGAAAGCAGTCTGGGTGCGTGGCTGGGCAGCGCACATGTGGTCATGCTTTGCCAACTGCTCTTTTGTTCCTTCCTTCCCACAAAATGTGCCCAGGAGGACAGCTCCGACAGAGCTGTCTTCAGTTGAACCTGATTGGGTTAGTCCTTGATTAACCATCTCCCACTAAGCAGCCTGGATAAACAGACAGTCCAGGTTAAAACATACTTTCACAGAGAACAAAACATTCTCCAAAAAGAAATAAAAACATCCAGCCATAATTGTATTGCTGGTAAAATAATCTTTCTTGTACAGCGATAAATGTTTCTTTCAAGAAAAAAAATCAAAATCTGTTATAGGCGTTTACTCAATAATTAATTCCAAAGTTTAGAATGGGCAGAGCAGGGCCATTTGGTTCAGGGGTGGACCTGGGTTCTGCTCACGCTCCTGGGAAGATCTGGCAAGAACATAGAGTCTAGAACAGAAGAAGGGCAGCAATACTGAAGACAGCAATATTTAACTGAGCCGAGATGGATGGAAGATGACAGACAGCAAAGGCCCAGAAGCAAGAAATCCTGCTTTCCAGGGAGAGAGCAGGGTTCCGCTGGGCCAGAGCACTGTAGGCAGGAGGAGAAGCAAGGAAAAGCAGGGTGGCAAAGGCAGCAGAGCCTCAAGGGGCTGCAAGACCCTGGCCAGTTTCTTCCCTACTCCAGGCCTCAGTTTTCTCAACCATAAAATGAGGCCAATACAGAACCTAGTGCTTAGGAAAACTGTAAGGATTCGTGAGTTCATGCCTGCAATGTTCTTAGGACAGGGCCTGACACAGTTGGTGGTCGTTGAGTGAGTTCAAGAACCCCTACGCATTTTATACAAGGGCTTCAGGATATATTTATATATATATGTGTGTGATTAAAATTGTGATTAAAAGAAAGGGGGAAAAACAGACCTAAGAACATGTGCTCTGCATCAACTGCTAATATTCTGGAGACACCAAAGCGTTAACTGTTGCAGCCACAGGAACACATTTCTGCATATACCTCAGAATGAAGGGCTCCCCTGCCAAGTGTGTGTAAAGATACAAATTCCTTGTAAATGTGTCATCGATTAGAAGCCAATTACCCTGGCCTTCTTGCTTGGTTTTGTTTTGTTTTGTTCCATTCTGGTCTGTTCATGTCTGCTCATTTAAAATCGTAGCAGGAAGTCCAGTGCTTCACTCACGAGTGCCCCGCTCAACTACAGCCTGCTCCCGCCCAAAGGCACATACGGTACATCAGATGGACCGGGCTTTCCAAAGTGGGCACCGCCAGGACACCCTGAATCAGGATGACTCCATTTTCCACAAGTTATTTAATTGCTTCTTATACTTCCCACTGTTTAAGAGCACCACTCCTGATGGATATTTCTATCTTCTACTAAGTGGAAAAGCACCTTTGGAGGGTTCAGGGTTACAATGTTACCATTTGCACCAAAGTGGACCAAGTGTCAACAATTTCAAAGTGACTGTTCTGAAACTTTGAATAAAAACCAAACAATGCCCAGACTTCATGTGATACATTTTAAGGTACAGCTACCAGAGGATGAAGATATAAGCTCCCCTGGACACTGCCCCCTTGAGTCCCTGCTATTAGGGAACAGGAGGAGATCCTGAGAGCCACAGTGATTCCATTCTGAAATCAAAGTATCATTTTACCCTTTGTGAACTCCTGGATCAAATCAATTGAAGGGTGTCTAGTGATTGTAAATCAGATTTTTAAAAAATGTTATCATATGCAACTACTTCTGCGAATTCAGATTTCCTTGATACAAAATAAAATTAGATACTGAGACTAATTTTTTTAAAAACTACAACAGTCTCAAAATGTGCATTCATCAAAAAAGTGACATTGCTCTTTCTGTTTCACTTTATAACAAATAAATATTGCAAAATTGAACTTCTAAACCAAGGTCCAGGGTTTGATCCTTGCACTGGCCAGCCACCAAAATAATAATAATAATAACTTGTACACCAATATGTACATTGTAAAATAAGTGTACACCAAGAGAAATAAAATGCTGCTATTGATTACATGTAATATTTCATTGAAAGTCCTGCAGTTAGGGCCGGCCCGTGGCTCACTCGGTAGAGTGTGGTGCTGATAACACCAAGGCCCCAGGTT